CGGTAAAATTGAAATAGGCCGATAGTTCTCACATTGTCTTTTATCCCCGGATTTAAATATTGGCGTAACACGAGCACGCTTCCATTCATCTATATATACGCCTGTTGCAAGCGACAGATTGAAGATGAATGTCAACGAGGGTGCAATTATGTTTGCAGACAATTTTAGAATTTTAGCAGGAATTTTATCAAGACCTGTTGCTTTACATGCTTTTAGGCCTCTTAGGGTCGAGGCAACACTATCAACGGATATTGGAGATACTTTAAAAAAGTATCTAAGGATTGATTAATATTATAGTTTATGGGCTGATTATCAACATTACTACAGGACTCGTCTACATATTCTGCTGCTAGCCTCGACCCAATACTAATGAAATAGTCATTAAATGCATCTGCAATAGATTTAGGATCCGAAACTAACGTGCTGTCAACCAGCAACTCATTCACATTGTTGGATTTGTTATTCTTTCCCAATAATGAATTAATTAATTTCCAAGTCTTTTTAGGGTCATTCATTACAGAGCAATCAGTGATTTTATTATGAAAATATTTTGATTTTACATTTCGCATTTCAACATTCACTTTATTCCGCAGAAATTGAAAACTTTCCCAATGTGGCTGTGAGGAATGTTTTATTGCATATTTTTTATGATAGTCTCTGTTTCTCATCATACATTTAATTTCCGGAGTAATCCATGGGACCGAGTTCACCTTTACTCGCTTATGTCGAATCGGCGCATGTATATTTAATATCTCATTAAAGAAAGATTTCCATACCCTCCAGTATTCGTTGGGATTATTATATTGATTAATTACATGCCAAGGCATTCTGGCTAAATCCCCAATAAAATATTCAACATTAAAATGTTTATAATCCCTAACTTCTTTCACATTAGGTTTAAGTTTTGGAAGGGTGAACTTCCTGACCACATAAATCAAACTATGGTCGGACATCCCCAGATCTATTACACCAGACGTCGAAATGTTTTCTTTAGCATTAGTTAAGACCAAATCAATCAAGGTCGCCGAGGTGTTGGTCTCTCTTGTAGGTTTATTAATTAATTGGTCACGTTGATAAAGAGAACACAAAAAGTTTAATTGTTGTGTATGGGCATCTGGTGAGGTTTTCATAACATCGCAGTTAATATCACCAATTATAATCAATTCCTTATTTTCAGACTCGCATTTTTGAAAAAATACATCACAATCATTAAATAAGCTCAAGTTTGACTTCGGAGGCCTATACCATGTGCAGACAAAAAGCGACTTGCTAAAGGGGCGAGTAATTTCCGCACACAGCATCTCAAGACGATCGGGCACCAAGTCATTCCTATCCAAATAGGATAGGTTGTCTCTGATATACAACACCACACCGCCTCCTGCCCTATTACGGTCCTTTCTTATCAAGTTAAAACCAGGGATACTTATTTCCCCATCCATTACAGAATCATCTATTTTGGATTCATTAATAGCAAAAATATCGAAGGGAAATTTGAATAACAGATGCCTAATTTCCTCAATGTGTTTCAATAAGCTATTGACATTTATACTAGCAATTTTTAGGCTTTTTAATCTAGCGACGCAATGCATTGCAGAATCAAACTCACCCATTGTTGGACCACGGCATGCTTTACCTGAATTGTCATTCGCAACATCTAACGGCGAGGTTTCTTGTATAGTGGAATTGTCGTTGGTTGGGTTGTTAGCTGGGTTAGTAGTTGTCCCAACCACAGGAGTTGACAAATGGATCTATGAACACGCAAGCGACTGTTTGGTTTGGACAGCAAACGAGATAACGGCCAACATTGATCATGGCCCACGGCAGGAACGCTGGTACGAGATCACCGACGGCGAAGCATCGGTCATAGATGATAACAACATACCACGGTAAGCACTTAACATTATTAGCTGCATTGCTCTGCTCAAATACAAACTATGGTGCTTCCCATATGCGTCACGGGTAACTAGCTGATATAGTAATCTGATTAATTATAAAAAACATTTCCCTTCATTATTAGATCCCTTTTCGACTCAACGGTTGTAAAAAACATCAGTTATCAAGATCTGAGAGAAATGGCAGTAGAACCAAACGTGTCGAGGTCGAACCCAGCAGACTCCTGCGCAGTCCATCGCTCTTTTGTACGGGATGGAGAGCAGGAACGAATTGCAGTGCCGAGATACCTCCGCCGAAGCTTCCAGTTGCCATCATCTTCGTCAGCATTGTCGGACGAGGAGAATAATCACTGTCCTTTGGAATTATGTAAGCCTCCAACACATGACGAGGCAGAGCCGTCCCAGAAATATCAAAAGACACAAGGAGAAGAAGAGGAGGAGGAAGAACAGGTTTCATCACCTGAAGATGTTTTCCAAATAATTTCGACACAGACGGGTTGGGTTATGAATGACGACAAGTACATGTACAAAGTATACGAGCACATTAGATGGCGGTAAGCAAGCATCTTGCATACGTGTCCACGTTACTTTAAGTTTTTCTATGTAAATTTCATTGACTTTTAGCAAGGATTTTAAATAACTAAACTTTATCTAAAAGCACGCGTTTGCTTCTCCTTTTACACAAAAAAAGAGCCACATGCTCTATTTTATCCAGCCCCAATTTCTACAGATGTCTTCAAATAGCCTCACTATTTTTCTCACTGCAACATTCACACATTTGGGTTAATCTTAGATTTTCTGCCCACGATCTCGATTTCTGCCCTGCCAAAATAACAGTGAACAACATCTTAAATCTTAACGTTCATTTTAGATGTCCTGCAGAACAACTACCTCAGCGGCCCATATTGGCGTTCTGTACAAGACGTGATGCTGCGAAACGCGAAGAAAAAGATGTTTTCACCAAGCCCGACCCCTACATCGACGCATAGATGTTGTTAACTGGTCGCGTGCGCAAAGTGTTCGATGTCATAAAATTCGTCAAAGTTCATCCAGATGTTGACCATTTTATATTCGCAACACGACGATTTTTGAAATGCCGAGTTATGTATGATGGGTGCCCTATCATTCAAGCGAAACAGAGAGTCGGTGAGCAAGAGAAAAAGGAGGCAGCACGTATGCGAGAGAACGAAAAGTTAGCTACAACAGATGCTGTCAGGTCTGCTATCGTCGTGAAGCGAAAGCGCAAGTGCAAGCGCTGATATGTGTGCTGATGAAACTGTAAATATATATATATATAATCTCAATGTGTGTGTGTCAAATTTCCAATTCGTTTGGAAGCTCAGTACGTTTAGGTTGGTTTGGTATGCAGAACAATATTTGTATTGCGATAACTGCATATGGTTTTGTAATAGGCGAAATGTTTCAAGTTTTTTAAGAAAATAGTTTTTAAAAAAGTTTTAAAAAGTTTTAAAAGAGTTTTAAAAAGCAAGAAAAGTTTAAAAAGTTAGATTTTTAAAATAGTTTAAAAAATTTAAAAAGTTAAAAAAATTAGGGTTAGGGGTTAGTGGTTAGGGGTTAGGGGTTAGGGTTAGGGAATTTATCATAATGATAAATTCGGACGTGTTTAAGAATTTACTCATAGAGTAAATTGAAAGGTGGAGCTCATGCTGGTGAATTGCAGGAGTAACCATCCCCCCCCGCGGGAACACACTCGGGAATTTGATTTGATTGGTTGTGATAGTGTAAATGCCTGTGTGCCGGGACACAACTTGAAAACTAATGCACGGCCCCTGGGCATGCTGAGAGTGGAAAATGCCCAACCCCGGGGATGATATGGCCCGCGTGCAGGCCCAAGGGAGCAGGCTAAATGAAACTTGATAGTGGGCCTGCAAGCAAGGCCCGGTATTTTGTACTTTCCGCGTTCGCCCACGAACGCGGCATTCTGATTGGCTGTTTGCTGTTAGATTCTATAATTAGATAAGTGATTCATCACAAAGGTTCTCGATAAGCTTAAAATTCGAAAATTGATTACTTTTTTCGATTATAAATGGACAAGAACAGACTGTTTATTGTTTACTTGAAGGAAGAGAAATGTTTTGCCGTTATGCCAATGGGGATTGCTTGTCGTGAGGTGTTGGAATAGCACTCATTACGACTGGGGTAAACTATAGTAACCTTTACTTGAGTTTCATTAATTTCAAACAGACTTGATACGTTATATGTTCTGCAAGAAAATTATCTTTTGGTTGATGTTGAGATGCAGTTGCTTTTAAGCCTATTCGAAACACTTTGCGATTTACAAGGCTTCGCTGAGAGAGCGAAACAGAAGACGGTATTAAATTGCCGTTTGAAACGAAACGATCTGGACTCTGAACGCTCTCTTCGTTTGTAGAGTTCTTTACCAAATGAAATAACTGAAATAAATTTCGTACTTTCCGCCGCCAACAAGAATTGCACACATGATCTGATAAGTGAGACAATTTATGTATAACAATGGCAACAGCGAAGCACACATTATAAATGCTAATGTGGTCGCACGACTTCCCCCACGATTTGAAGTTTGAGACTGCTTTTCTGTTGAAATTCGTCCTAATTTGCCTGTTCCGATTTTAGTTGAAAATGAGCACTTGCAAATTTGGCAATTACTGACTGCGTTGCTTGCTTTTTTTTTTAGTTAAAACGCAGTCATTTAAACATTGTTTATTAGTGTTCTAAATAAGCAGAGAAAACCCCGCAACATTTTAATGCGAGTTTGTTTGTTAATATTTGGGTGCTGTCATTGGTTCTTTTTTGACAATTGACGCGCGAATGGGGCGTGTTATGAAAAGAGGCGTTTTACAAAATACCGGGCCTTGCTTGCAGGCCCACTATCAGTTCCCTTGGGCCTGCACGCGGGCTAGGGATGATTTTACAGTCGATTTCGCGAAACTTTGACCACAAATGTTCCGAACTTCGTTGCGAAGTTCGGAAGCTCATATTGGAATTCACAAGCCAATTTGTAAACAAAGTCCCTGATTGGTCCGTGAAGTAAAAGAAGCCAATCAAATGCGTAGTTTACGATCTGGTTTGTGAATCTCATTATGAACTTTTGAACTTCGCAACAATCTTGTGAACTTCGCAACGAAGTTCGGAAAATTTGTGGTCAAAGTTTCGTGAAATCGACTGTAAACGTTAATTAAACTTTTAATGGCATATAATCATAGTAATTTAATAACATTATAGTATTAAACTGCTATGGAATATTATAAAACATAAACCTTTAATAGTTGTATTTAAATTTGCATGGCACAGGGTAAAATTTTCGCTTATTGTTACAATAAATTTCACGCCACCTTGATCACGAGGGCGCAAAATACGATCAGCGCGCCCACATGCGTTCCTGAAACTAGGTTTTGCTGCCTTAAAATTTGAGGGTGGGATTTTGGTCAACCATTTGTCAAATCCCCGGGGTTCTCCAATACCCGGCCCACGTGCACATATATGAAAGGCAAATTCCCGACCCCCGTGAACTGTCTATCGGGCAAATTCCAGGGGGTGTCCCGGGGGGGATGGTTACTCCAGGAATTGACTCATGCATAAGTGTGCCAGGTTTTGTAAGTTCAAGCCCAACTATTGCGTATATTTTTGCTTGCCTTTTAATAAAATTTTGTCAGTTTAGCATCTGCCTATACTTTTTTACGTAACGGGCTAATTTTAAAAGAAGCCGGGCTAATTTCAGTAGACGCCGGGCTAATTTCAATGGAAACCGGGATAATTTCAATAGAGGACAGGCTAATTTCAATGGAAGCCAGGCTAGTTTCAATAGAAACTTCAGGAGAGCATGATGTAATTTTTCAAGTTTAACGATTGCAATTTTTACCTGAAGTATCTAATATAACGTCTAAGGCGACGAATTACACCGTTTGAAATAAGTGTGCAAGGTTTTGTAAGTTCAAGCCCAATTATTGCTTATATTTTTGCTTGTCTTTTAATAAAATTATTACAAACGCTGTAATTCGTGCTGTAATTCGTGCTTTAAAGGTTATTAGATACTTCAAGTAAAAATTGCAATCGTTAAACTTGAAAAATTACATCATGCTCTCCTCAAGATGCTGTTGAAATTAGCCCGGCTTCCATTGAAATTAGCCCCGTCCTCTAATGAAATTAGCCCGGCTTGCATTGAAATTAGCTTGGCGTCTATTGAAATTAGCCCCGGCTTCTTTTAAAGTTAGCCTGGCGTTTGCATGAAGCTTACTTGCTTGAATAAAAAGTATAGAAGGTTGTTGTTAAGACGAACATAATTGACTTAACGTATTGTCTTAACGTATTTCACTGCATGCTATATGCATGACTAAAGCGTGTTTCACTGCATGCTACTAATATGCATGACACTCAGAGAATTGATCGTGCATTTGCATTATGTTAACTACAGCAAGTTATCGCTGTATATAAGGAGTCGCAAAATCTGTATGCTAACTGTTTGCTTCTCGACGTTTGGCATGCCTCGTCAACGTATTCGCATGGACTGGAAAACTGTTGACGGGGCATTTAGTATAAACCTCGAAGACTTCACTTAGAAAATGATAAAGAAGGTCTTTTCCATTGCCCTGCACTTGGCTGGGAACATCATGGTTTCGCGAGTCAACGAGGCTGTCGAAAGCACGTCAAAACAAGACATCCGTGGTATATATATTTTGACACGAAGCCCATAATTTCTGCCGAGAGCGAACGAAAACTTGATGTGAATCAGTCTTGTTCGTCGGGAAGCAAACCAACGCTGGCGTGTTGTGCTACAAATTCACAGTTGGCACGATTATTTTCTTCATGGCTACAAATAGGGTGGAAAAGGGGGGGTATGGTTCACGTTTTACAACGAAAAAAAAAGCCGTTTCACAATTCACGTGTCTTAAAAAAGCAATTGCACGCAAAATTAGATTCTCATAAAATAATATAATAATTAAAAAAGCAATTGCACGCAAAACTAGATTCTCATAAAATAATATAATAATAATAGGTTTATTAAGACTATGTTTAATGCATGGTACAGTATCTACGCTTTAAGTTCTCTCATTTCTCAACCTGTCAGTTAAAAACTACATCATAACTTTACAAGTTTGAGTGACGAGAATGCACGATGACTACGCAAATTTTTTCCCGTAGACAGTCAGACTCCTCATTGATAGTCGGACGCATCATTGAGTAGCGTCCAGGCCTCCGCGCGTTATCGATGAATCCCTTTGTAATCCACTGGTGCACCATATATCCATCACTCCACGTTCTTCTTCTTCAACCATGTGCAGAAAGATGAACGATTTGCTTCGCGATGCCATAGTAAATCTACAAACTTGTATTTCTGGTTCCGAAAATACTCCAGAACTGTTATTTCGAGTTAAAACCATATATCCCAGTTGAAGAGAATCAGGATAAGATAACTAGCGTGCAAGGAAATAGTGGAAGATAAGTTCAAAGCGACCATCAAGTCCACTTCCCCAAATAGAAATATTGCAGAATACCCTTCCACTGGCAATATCATATCATTCACTATTTCACTGGATACATATATACCAGATCTTGTTCCATCGTTCTAATAAGGTAGATGATATCTCGATCGTTTCGGCGTATTTCGGCCTACCACAATGCACTGCTTCCGGGCCGGCAGGCTGTTCTTGCCTAATAAACAGGCATAAGGCAAACAAGCAATGTGATCATCTTTCATCTTTGGTTTTCTTTTTTCAAATTTAGTGAGGCGCACGCTCGCACATGTTAAATGTCACCTGCATGTCATTGTCATTGCCCTTTAACTCCTGGTCTAAATCATATGATTATTGAAGCGGGGCCGTTTTGACCTACAATCAGTTTCAAAAGTCTTGGGACAGATGCCACAAGACCTTTGAATTCCAACAAACGACAATCCCCCCGCTCCCTGTTCAATGTTGTGTCCCATTTCTCGTTGGGTTTGATGTGTTTTGGTTTAAACAACATTAATTGGGGTGGGGGGAGGGGAGCGGTATTGTGTGTAAAAATCTATAATGATCCACTTACAAGCTAAAACTACATGTGTCCCAACAACTTCTGAAAGTGATTGTAGCACCGTATTTGTAGCCAAATTGTCTATACAATTTTATATACTAGATATCACAGCCATATACCTGCCATTTTGATCTTTTCATCGCGTTAGATAAGTTGATAAGTACACTCATTCTTGTTAGCCATCGTACCTATTCGGCTGTTCCTCTTTGGATACGAAACTTCGAGCGCCGAGTTATCATACGGCACATTCAAGTGTATAAATTATGGATGATTCCAACGGACCATTCCCCAATTAACCAGAATTTTGAACTCAACAAATCTACACTTTGCAATTTTCAGTCATTTTAGGTTACAAACGGGAGATGGTTACCACTTCTGTGCGTAATACAAATTACAAAATGACTGAAAATTACAAGCTTCGCAAGGCTATATTATCCGCATTTTACAACATTTTACAACGAAACTTTGGAATATTACTAATTTTGTGATGCTCTTTCAAGTTGTGATGAAATTTTTGTTTGGGCTACTTAAGATCAAAATTGTGGAAAAGTGGTAACCATTTCCCGTTTGTAATCTGAAATGACTGAAAATTGCAAATTTCGCAAGACTATATTATCCGCATTTTACAACATTTCGCAACGAAACTTTGGAATATTACTAATTTTGCGATGCTCTTTCAAGCTATGTTGGAATATTGTCTACACTTGCTGAGATCAAAATTTTGTTTAATTGGGGAATGGTGGTTACAAATATTTCTTGCTCTTATTCTTTAAAATATTAACTAAGATTTGGGAACAATGCTATACCAAGGCAGCATTCACTACCCTGTGGGTAAACTAGTTCTTTAAAGGGGAAGTCTACCCCCACAACAAGTTTAGTTCATATAAAAGGCCTTACCTTGATGACTTTCGGTACGAATTATTTTGTCTCAATTCTTTTTCGTTTGCTAAATATTCCATATGCTTCACTTCGAAAAATTGCAAATAGAAAGTCGCCATATTGCCTTTTTTCGTAGGCGCAATAATTGTCAGCGGTCAGTGTTATGACGTCACAGGAGTGCTTCATGCAATCGTGCATGTCTCAAAACAGTAATAGAATCTGCTTTTTCATTGTATAAATTTCGTAATTTGTACATTCTTGTGGCTTTACTGCCTTTACACAAACGTCTCACAAAATGCCTCATTGCATGGTGCCAAACTGTACAAATGGCTGGCGCAAAACGAAAGGAACAGGTGTCAGTTACCACCGTTTACCTACTAACCACATGAAGAGTTTGTGGCTTCAAAGAGTTCGTCGAGATAATCCTCGAGATTCTAAACATTCGTTTGTATGTAGTGATCATTTTAGCCCAGAGAGTTACAAAAGTTCACTTGCTGAAAAGTTGTGCGGCCAGACAGGGAGGAAAATATTGAAACCAGATGCAGTTCCTACAATTTTTAAGCACAGTGAAAACGTGCCAAAAACGAAACGACGAGTATCAAGCGAAATGAGATGCCGGGTTCGAGAGAGAAATGGGGTATTATATTATATGGGGTATTATTGACTTTCTTACTTGTCGCAAACAACGTGTCAAACTTGGTAACGACTGCTATTCTGAATGGGGAACTATTCCATCTGGGGTCCCCCAGGGTACCAAACTCGGGCCGTGGTTATTCGTTATCATGATAAATGATTTGAAAATCCAAGATTCGGAACTCTGAAAATACGTCGATGACACAACGATGTCTGAAATTGTTGAAAGAAACAACGAATCCAACATACAGGAGAAAGTTGATGAACTTACACGACATATTTCTATTGATAAACTTACGCTAAACGAGTCCAAGTGTAAAAAGTTACGTATTAGCTTCAGTAAATCTCCTCCCGATTTCGATCCTATTACCATCAACAATAAGCAACTGGAGGTCGTTGAAAGTGTAAAACTCCTTGGCATGCAGATATCTAACGATCTTAAGTGGAATAGCCATATATCTGTTATTATGAAGAAAGCGAATAAGCGTTTGTATTTTCTGAGCCAACTAAAACGTCCGAACGTGGGCAGTAAGGAACTTATTACCTTTTACTGTACTTGTATAAGACCTGTTACAGAGTATGGCTGCCCAGTATTTCACGATAGCCTGCCAAATTACCTTGTTAAAGACATCGAAAGAATACAGAAACGCGCGATGCGGATAATATTTCCAGCCTTATCATATGACGAATCTCTCTCCGTTGCTGAGTTAGTCCCTCTAGAAGCACGAAGACAGCAACTAACGGACAAACTATTCCAGCAAATTATTAGCGACCCAAGTCACAAATTGAACAAACTTTTACCACCTGTAAACGAATGCCAAATTAAGCTTAGGAAGAAACGACTTTTTAAAAATCAGCTTTTTAAAACAGACCGATTTAGGAATAGTTTTATAACTCACAATGCACTGAAAATGCGCACCTAGTTATAGTAGTAGACAATTATAGTCAACTTATACACACATTGCCATTTGGCTCCAAACTTTTAAAATTTTTAATAGTTATTCTAATAATTTTAAACTATATGTAATTCTTAGCGTAATTCAGCTTTTGGCTGCAATGCTTTGCAAATAAACTATCTATCTATCTATCTATCTATATATATTATGCATCTGGTTGTTTTTATAAACTTGTTAGTTGTCACTGGAAGTTTATATCGTGGAAAACATAGGTCATCAACACTCTTGGTTCTGTAAAGTACTCGCTGTAAACTCTCAAATAAGGCCCCCAGGGGGGGTGGGGGGGTGTTTTAGGCACCTTTGGGAGGGAGCTTATTGGAGAGAGGGGCTTATTGGAGAGGGGACTTACTGGAGAGGGGGGCTTATTTAAGGGGGGATTAATAGAGTTAAAGGTGTGATCAAATGCTGATTCCAAATTCCTACTTGGTGCAAGGTTTTGGCACCAAACTCTGTATATTTCCAACTGTATGCTGAATACCACCTGACCCTAATAAATGTTTTCAATTACAAATGCAATTAATAATCAAGTTGAAAAGATAAGGCACACTTTTTATGTATAAATAATGATTTGGTTGACTTGTAGATAGTGCAAGAATTATTGGCCGAAAATCAAACAAAAGAAGATGAGAAAGAATCAGTTGATGAAAGTTGTGACCAAGTGGTCGAGGTTTGTCAACCTATGGATACAAGCACCACATGTAATGCCACTGGAGATGATGATCCTATGCCTCTCTGCCGTGATGTTAGTACACAGTGTTGTATCAATGCGAGAACGCTAGTGAATGCTGAAACCCAAACAAATGAATCTTTTACTAGTACTTATTGTCTTTCTTCTGATTCCCAACCACCACCTGAAAATATCAACACTCATTTAGTAGACCACAATTATTATGCAGACCACCAACATTTTTTTGATAACCCAGAAGTAGAACAAGCTGCAGAACATGCTATGGAAGAGCAAAAGGACATTCTCACAGAAATAGATTTCAACCTTTATGACCTTGAAACAAAGTCTAATACTACAAGTGATAATGAACAAGATGAAGACTATCTACCACAAAGTGATTCACAATCAGATGACTTCCAAAATGAAACTGATTACAATCCAGCCATATTGTCAAAGACCAAGAATTTTATTGTTAATGAGAAAGAACTGGATAAACTTTTTAGCTTATGCTCAACATGTGGACAAGCTGTAGTTGAAATGAAGAAAATTACTAAAGGTAGCATGTTATGCATAAAAGCAACATGCCTTAATGGGCACACTAAAGAATGGAATTCACAACCATATGTGGATGAAATGCCATTAGGTAACATACTTATTCCAGCAGCTGTTTTGCTAACTGGAAATACATTTGCTCCTATAAGTCATTTTGCTGCTTGCCTCAATTTGCAATTTGTCAGCAAAGCCACCTTCTACAAAATTCAGGATAAATATGTTATCCCAGTGGTTCACAATAGCTGGCACAACCATCAAAAACAAGTACTGAAAGACATCAAGAACCAGAAAACTCCAGTAAATGTTGCAGGAGATGGTCGGTCTGATAGTCCAGGTCATTCGGCAAAGTATGGGACATACTCACTTATGGATGAATCATCCGGGAAGGTAGTTGACTTCAGTCTTGTACAAGTGACAGAAGTTTCTTCTTCAAACGCCATGGAATATGAGGGTTGCAAACGGTCCTTAAAAAAGCTTATTAAAAACAAGATACCTGTACGATGTCTAACAACTGACCGTCATGTTACCATTACAGCTAGAATGAAGTCTGATTTTCCAAAAATCAAACACCAGTATGATGTTTGGCACTTGTCAAAGTCTGTTACAAAGAAACTGACAAAGAAAGCCAAGAAGAAATGCAATGAAGACATACTACCATGGATTCAGTCAGTTTCAAACCATTTATGGTGGAGTGTGTCTACATGTGATGAAGATGTTTCAGTAATGAAAGAGAAATGGCTTTCAATCATTCACCATGTTTCCAACAAACACAGTTGGAAAGGGTGCAAGCACTTTAAGAAATGTGTGCATCATAGACTTAGCAGACGAGAGAAGAAACAAGTTCCATGGCTGAAAGCAGGATCACCTGCTCTTGTTGCCCTGGAAGAGGTGGTGAATAACAAAAGGCTTCTGAAAGATATGGAGAAATTGACAGAATTCCGCCATACTGGGGAACTGGAAGTTTTTCACTCCCTTATGCTGAAGTATTTACCAAAACGAAAGCACTTCAGCTACAGATCTATGTTGGCACGTACTCAACTTGCAGCATTGGATCACAACCATAATTGCAATCGGGTTCAAGCTGTAGTTAAGTCAGGTGGAAACAAGGGTCAGCAGCAATTCAAGGTTGAAAAACCAAAAGCAAACAAGAGTTGGGTTTGTAAGCCTATCAAAGAACCCAAATCTTACAAATTTTTGTCTCCAATGCTCGAGGATGTGGTAAAGGCAAAACAGAATGGCATTAAGGTAATTAAAGCACCACCTAAAATGCCAAAACATATAGCTAAAGAGCCTAAACCAAGCAAACAATCTGTGATAGAAAAACACAGATCTCGAATGTCAAAGTGATATTGTACAGTATTTTCAACAATATTAAAATTTTTAAAATACAAATTATTGACCTTTAGGTATCAAGGTGAATTGGGGATCATCACCTACCATCCGTGAGCACATTATTGCTGTAGTATGATGGCTACCTCGAAATTCTTTGTTTCGCGAGGGACAATTAACATCTAAGTAACCTGATCCATCAACTGCATAAAACATTAGGTACGATTATTTACTAATTTTACCTAAGGTATGCATGATTAGAAACTAATTATACCTATAATGTTTATGCAAAAGACAGGTTTAACAATTATGCCTTTGAATTTTTTTTCCTGTGTTGGTGTAGTGTACTCAGGTGAATATGATATTTGTGGTGTTACTCTGAGTGTATATCCACACCGGGCGAGCTTGAAAAATATATCCCACCGTGGACGGGCGTATTTTTCAAGCTCGCCCGGTGTGGATATACACTCAGAGTAACACCACAAATATTATAATTATGCCTCTGTTGTCTTGGTAGCCATAATATTACAAATTAATAGCATGGCAGAAATTACGGGAACCACTGATTATTTTGATAAAATACAAAACAATAGATACTCCGAAAATTGAAAGCATTTTGAAAAAATTATAAATTTTTATCAAATAAATTTTTCAAAATACTTTCAATTTTTGGAGTATCTGTTGTTTTGTATAATAGCATGGAATTGCGGTTGATTGGTGACTACATATATGTTCCTTTGTCCCTCAAGACTCGGGAGGTTAAGTAAACCTCCCTCTGCTTTCAGGTATGTCGATCAAACTGAATACCATGCTATTAATACTTAAATATGGACACAGACTGGAAACATTGTGGCTTAAAGCTTCATAACTATAATTAAATAAAGTACATCTTAGCCCAACAATTGAGTGTAAAAAATGTCTTGCTAGCTACATAACAACAAACAATAACAAAAACAACTACAGTTAGTTTCTGTAATCTATGAAAATGTATATTTTGTAAGTATATGTCAATCATTCATCAGCAAAGTGAAAACCTTCAAATTCAAAATCTTCTTCCAAACCAGGGGGTGGAAAGTGAGCCCTTATGCAACTTACAGCACAAGATGGTAATGGCACTCTGATTTCTTTGCCTAAAATTCCCCAACACCATCTTGTCAATTGTCTGTAAGCAACATGTCGATTTCGTTTGTGTTCAGGACCATCAGTTGCCAATGTCCCATATTGTTGCTTATAATGATACCACGCAATTTGAAGGGCCCAGCGATTTAAACAGCCTCCTGCGAAACCTGGGTTGTCAGTAATACAATTCGGTTTTTCCTTAAGCTTTTCTGTTTCAAAAACTTCTTCGTTTTTGTTCATGATCTCAGGTATTTCGTGACAGCACACACATTCTTCTACTCTGTCCATGATTTGACAGTGTTCACATTGACACCTGTGCAGGAAAATTAATATTTCAATACAGGAATACAGTGATATATTTAAAAATCGAACTTAATTGTATTTATTTATTACAGCATTAAAATATTCGTATATTAAACCTTACGTACCAATCCAAGTTGTCCAATCTACTTTCATCCTTCTGTTCACTGCTGTAATCATCATCAGATTCAGACGACTCTGGAATAGTGTCAACGACAGGTTCGAACTGGTAAGGCAGCAAACCTAAAATTTGCCCTTGCGGCGAATACTCGTCGTCGTTACTTGAGCTGCAACTGGAAGTTTCGCTCGAGCTTTCGCTTTCCGTATCAGAGGTACAAATATGCTCGTCATTGCCGTTCAGATCCATTAAAGAATAACAAAAATGGAGAATTGTATCTTTCAATTTTAAATTATTTTGCCTCCGGCGCGAAAACACAAAAAGCTAGACTAATTTCAATAAAAATTTGCATAAAATATTTGTAATTTCTACTTTCTAGTACTGTTTTGAGACATGCACGATTGCACGAAGCACTCCTGTGACGTCATAAAACTGACCGCTGACAGTTATTGCGCCTACGAAAAAAGGCAATATGGCGACTTTCTATTTGCAATTTTTCGAAGCGAAGCATATGGAATATTTAGCAAACGAAAAAGAATTGGGACAAAATAATTCGTACCGAAAGTCATCAAGGTAAGGCCTTTTATATGAACTAAACTTGTTGTGGGGGTAGACTTCCCCTTTAAAATATTAAAAGGTAATTTTTTTTCAATGTCACGTATTCGCAATGAAAAGTGTTCAAAACCTAAAATCTTTTTGGCGTTCCTCTCAAAATTACTTTGTTTTGGCTTTAATCCTATATTCTCTACAGTTTATAGAGTTAGCTACCTTTTAAATGCGTCTGCCGGTTGAGAAACATAAAATAATAGTTAAGAATTGCCAATTAAAATACAATTATCAATGATGACTTAAAATTGACGCTATATTTACAACCATTTAAGCAAAACGTACTGAACGTCAGACATCATTTTCTCTTTGGCGTATCATCTAAAATCTCTTCATTTTAGCATTGAATCTGATATGAATCTAGTTATTAATCTATTGAGAATAAATATAGATGTATTAGTACATCGTATCCATAAAGTTTCAAAGGCATAGCTTAAAAAGTGGACGGGTATTCTGCAATCGCTCCGAAAAAAGTTACAAGAAACAGATACAAAAGCAAAGGAAAGCAAGCGGGAATGGCGAATATAACTTAATAAAATATGTCTTCACCATACAAGATGTGAAGCCACAATGTGTCTTGTTCAGATTTTGACATTTCAACCAAGCAAAACTGATCCTGAAATCACCAATTGCGTGCGCAAGACACACACGGAAGGCGCATCTAATAAGAAGAGTAACCGCTGAATATTTTGTTTAAGGACGCGGGTCAATGATGCATCCGAATACCAATGTGGAGTCCGACTGTCCACGGTAAAAAAATTGCCACGACGACCTTCCTGCGTGTCTTCAGTGTCAGGAACCTTGTCCTCAGCGTGAGGAGCCTTGTCCTCAGAGTCAGGAGCCTTGTCCTCAGAATCAGGAGCCTTGTCCTCAGAGTCAGGAGCCTTGTCCTCAGCGTCAGGAACATTGTCCTCAACGTGAGGAACCTTCACCTATGCGACAGCAACCATGTCCTCACCGTCAGGAATCTTGTCCTCAGCGTCAGAAACCTTGACCTCAGCGTCATAACCTTGTCCTCAGCGTCAGAAGCCTTGTCCCCAGCGTCAGGATCCTTGTCTTCAGCGTCACGAAACTTGTCCTCACGTCAGGAGCCTTGTCCTCGGCGTCAGGAACCTTGTACTCAGCGTCAGGAACCTTGTTCTCAGCGTCAGGAATATTGTCCTCAGCGTCAGAAGCCTTGTCCTCAGCGTCAGGAGTTTCCTCCTCAGCGTCAGGAACCTTGTCCTCAGCGCCAGGAACTTTGTCCTTAGCGTCACGAGCCTTGACCTCTGCGTCAGGAGCCTTATCGTCAGCGTCAGGTACCTTGCATCAGCGTCAGGTACCTTGCATCAGCGTCAGGTACCTTTCCCTTAGCGTCAGGAAACTTGTCCTCAGCGTCACGAGCCTTGTCCTCAGCGTCAGGAATCTTGTCCTCAGCGTTAGGAATCTTGTCCTCAGCGTCAGGAGCCTTGTCCTCAGCGTCAGGAACCCAATCCTCAGCGTCAGGAATCTTGTCCTCAGCGTCAGGAACCTTGTCCTCAGCGCCAGGAACCTTGTCGTCAGCGTCAGGAGCCTTGCTTTCAGCGTCAGGAACCTTGACCTCGGCATCAGGAACCTTGTCCTCAGCGTCAGGAACCTTGTCCTCAGCGTCAGGAACCCTTTCCTCAGCGTCAGGAATCTTGTCCTCAGCGTCAGGAACCTTGTCCTCAGCGTCAGGAGTTTTGTCCTCAGCGTCAGGAGCCTTGTCCTCAGCGCCAGGAACCTTGTCCTCAGCGTCAGGAGCCTTGAAATCTGCGTCAGGAGCCTTATCGTCAGCGTCAGGTACCTTGCCTTCAGCGTCAGGTACCTTGTCCTCAGCCTCAGGAAACTTGTCCTCATCGTCACAAGCCTTGTCCTCAGCATCAGGAACCTTGTCCTCAGCGTCAGGAATCTTGTCCTCAGCGTCAGGAACCTTGTCCTCAGCGTCAGGAGCCTTGTCCTCAGCGTCAGGAGCCTTGTCCTCAGCGCCAGGAACCTTGTCCTCGTCAGCGTCAGGTACCTCGCCCTCAGCGTCAGGAAACTGGTCCTCAGCGTAAGGAGCCTTGTCCTCAGCATCAAGAACCTTGTCCTCAGGGTGAGGAGCCTTGTCCTCAGAGTTAGGAGCCTTGTACTCAGCGTCAAAAGCCTTGTCCTCAGGGTCAGGGGCCTTTTCCTCAGCGTCAGGAACCTTGCCTCAGCGCGAGGAACCTTGACCTAAGCGTCAGGAACCTTGTCCTTAGAATCAGGAACCTTGAACTCAGCGTCAGAACCTTGTCCTCAGCGTCAGAAGCCTTCTCCCCAGCGTCAGGAACCTTGTCTTCAGCGTCACCAAACTTGTCCTCACGTCAGGAGGCTTGTCCTCGGCGTCAGGAACCTTGACCTCAGCGTCAGAACCTTGTTCTCAGCGTCAGAAGCCTTGTCCCAAGCGTCAGCATCCTTGTCATCAGCGGCACGAAACTTGTCCTCACGTCAGAAGCCTTCTCCTCCGCGTCAGGAGCCTTGTCCTCAACGTCAGGAACCTTGCCTTCGGCGTCAGAAGCCTTGTCCTCGGCATCAGGAACCTTGTCTTGAGCGTCAGGAAGCTTGTCATCAGCGTCAGGAACGCTGTCCTCAGCGTCAGGAATCTTGTCCTCAGCGTCAGGAACCTTGTCCTCAGCGTCAGGAGCCTTGTTCTCAGCGTCAGGAGCCTTGTTCTCAGCGTCAGCAGGCTTGTCCTCAGCACCAGGAACCTTGTCCTCAGCGTCAGGAACCTTGACCTCTGCGTCAGGAGCCTTATCGTCAGCGTCAGCTACCTTGCCCTCACCGTCAGGTACCTTGCCCTCAGCGTCAGGAAACTTGTCCTCAGCGTCACGAGCCTTGTCCTCAGCGTCAGGAACCTTGTCCTCAGGGTCAGGAGCCTTGTCCTCAGGGTCAGGAGCCTTGTCCTCGTCAGCGTGAGGTACCTTGCCCTCACCGTCAGGAGTCTTGTCCTCAGCGTCAGAATCGTTGTCTTCAGCGTCACGAAACTTGTCCTCACTTCAGGAGGCTTTTCCTCGGTGTCAGGAACCTTGTCTTCAGCGTCAGGAACCTTGTCCTCAGCGTCAGGAACCTTGTCCTCAGCGTCAGGAGCCTTGTTCTCAGCGTCAGGAGCCTTGTTCTCAGCGTCAGCAGGCTTGTCCTCAGCACCAGGAACCTTGTCCTCAGCGTCAGGAACCTTGATCTCTGCGTCAGGAGCCTTATCGTCAGCGTCAGGTACCTTGCCCTTACCGTCAGGTACCTTGCCCTCAGCGTCAGGAAACTTGTCCTCAGCGTCACGAGCCTTGTCCTCAGCGTCAGGAACCTTGTCCTCAGGGTCAGGAGCCTTGTCCTCAGGGTCAGGAGCCTTGTCCTCAGCGCCAGGAACCTTGTCCTCGTCAGCGTGAGGTACCTTGCCCTCACCGTCAGGAGTCTTGTCCTCAGCGTCAGAATCGTTGTCTTCAGCGTCACGAAACTTGTCCTCACTTCAGGAGGCTTTTCCTCGGTGTCAGGAAGCTTGTCTTCAGCGTCAGGAACCTTGTCCTCAGCGTCAGAAGCCTTGTCCTCAGAGTCAGGAGTCTTGTCCTCAGCGTCAGGAACCTTGTCCTCAGCGTCAGGAATATTGTCCTCCGCGTCAGGAACCTTGTCCTCAGCCTGAGAAGCCTTGTCCTCAGCGTCATGATCCTTGTCCTTAGCGTCACGAAACTTGTCCTCACCTCAGGAGGCTTGTCCTCGGCGTGAGGAACCTTGTCCTCAGCGTCAGGAGCGTTGTCCTCAGCGTCAGGAACCCTGTCCACAGCGTCAGGAATCATGTCCTCAGCGTCAGGAACCTTGTCCTCAGCGCCAGAAACCTTGTCGTCAGCGTCAGGAGCCTTGCTTTCAGCGTCAGGAGCCTTGACCTCGGCATCAGGAACCTTGTCCTCTGCGTCAGGAACCTCGTCCTCAGCGTCAGGAACCCTTTCCTCAGCGTAAGGAATCTTGTCCTCAGCGTCAGGAACATTGTCCTCAGCGTCAGGCGCCTTGTCCTCAGCGTCAGCAGCCTTGTCCTCAGCGCCTGCAACCTTTTCTTCAGCGTCAGGAGCCTTGACCTCTGCGTCAAGAGTCTTATCGTCAGCGTCAGGTACCTTGCCTTCAGCGTCAGGTACCTTGCCCTCAGCCTCAGGAAACTTGTCCTTAGCGTCAGGAACCTTGTCCTCAGCGTCAGGAATATTGTCCTCAGCGTCAGGAACCTTGTCCTCAGCGTCAGAAGCCTTGTCCTCAGCGTCATGATCCTGGTCCTCAACGTCACGAAACTTGTCCTCACCTCAGGAGGCTTGTCCTCAGCGTGAGGAACATTGTCCTCAGCGTCAGGAACCTTGTCCTCAGCGTCAGGAACCTTGTCCTCAGCACCAGGAACCCTGTCCTCAGCGTCAGGAATCTTGTCCTCAGCGTCAGGAGCCTTCTCCTCAGCGTCACAAGCCTTGTCCTCAGCGCCTGGAACCTTGTCCTCAGCGTCTGGAACCTTGCCTTCAGCGCCAGGAGACTTGTCCTCAGCATCAGGAAACTTGTCCTCAGCGTCAGGAACCTTGTCCTCAGCGTCAGGAACCCTGTCCTCAGCGTCAGGAATGTTGTCCTCAGCGTCAGGAACCTTGTCCTCAGCGTCAGGAGCCTTGTCCTCAGCGTCATGATCCTTGTCCTCAGCGTCACGAAACTTGTCCTCAGCTCAGGAGGCTTGTCCTCGGCGTCAGGAACCTTGTCTTTAGCGCCAGGAACCTTGTCCTCGTCAGCGTGAGGTACCTTGCCCTCAGCGTCAGGAGCCTTGTCCTCAGCGTCAGGATCGTTGTCCTCAGCGTCACGAAACTTGTCCTCACGTCAGGAGGCTTGTCCTCGGCGTCAGGAACCTTGTCCCCAGCGTCAGGAACCTTGTCCTCAGCGTTAGGAATCTTGTCCTCAGCGTCAGAAGCGTTGTCCTCAGAGTCAGGAGTCTTGTTCTCAGCGTCAGGAACCTTGTCCGCAGCGTCAGGAAACTTCTCCTCAGCGTCAGGAACCTTGTCCTCAGCGTCAGGAGCATTGTCCTCAGGGTCATAATCCTTGTCCTCAGCGTCACGAAACTTGTCCTCACCTCAGGAGGCTTGTCCTCGGCGTGAGGAACATTGTCCTCAGCGTCAGGAGCCTTTTCCTCAGATTCAGGAACCTTGTCCTCAGCGCCAGGAACCTTGTCCTCAGCGTCAGGAGCCTTATCCTCAGCGTCAGGAGCCTTGTCCTCAGCGCCTCGAACCTTGTCCTCAGCGTCCGGAGCCTTGCCTTCAACGTCAGGAGCCTTGTCTTCGGCATCAGGAAACTTGTCCTCAGCGTCAGGTACCTTGTCCTGAGCGTCAGGAACCCTGCCCTCAGCGTCAGGAATCTTGTCCTCAGAGTCAGGTACTTTGCCCTCAGCGTGAGAAGTCTTGTCCTCAGCGTCAGGAACCTTGTCCGCAGCGTCAGGAAACTTCTCCTCAGCGTCAGGAACCTTGTCCTCAGCGTCAGGAGCATTGTCCTCAGGGTCATAATCCTTGTCCTCAGCGTCACGAAACTTGTCCTCACCTCAGGAGGCTTGTCCTCGGCGTGAGGAACATTGTCCTCAGCGTCAGGAGCCTTTTCCTCAGATTCAGGAACCTTGTCCTCAGCGCCAGGAACCTTGTCCTCAGCGTCAGGAGCCTTATCCTCAGCGTCAGGAGCCTTGTCCTCAGCGCCTCGAACCTTGTCCTCAGCGTCCGGAGCCTTGCCTTCAACGTCAGGAGCCTTGTCCTCGGCATCAGGAAACTTGTCCTCAGCGTCAGGAACCTTGTCCTGAGCGTCAGGAACCCTGCCCTCAGCGTCAGGAATCTTGTCCTCAGAGTCAGGTACTTTGCCCTCAGCGTGAGAAGTCTTGTCCTCAGCGTCAGGAACCTTGTCCTCAGGGTCAGGAATCTTGTCCTCAGCGTCAGGAACCTTGTCCTCAGCGCCAGGAGCCTTGTGTTCGGCGTCACGATCCATATCCTCAGCGTTACGAAACTTGTCATCACGTAATGAGGCTTGTTCTCGGCGTCAGGAACCTTGTCAACAGCGTCAGAAACCTTGTCTTCAGCGTCAGGAATCTTGTCCTCAGGGTCTGAAGCCTTGTCCTCAGCGTCAGGAGTCTTGTCCTCAGCGTCAGCAACCTTGTCCTCAGCGTTTGGAGCCTTATTCTTAACGTCAGGAACCTTGTCCTCAGCGTCAGGAACCTTGTCCTCAGCGTCAGGAACCTTGTCCTCAGCGTCAGGAACCCTATCCTCAGCGTCCGGAATCTTGTCCTCAGCGTCAGGAACCTTGTCCTCATCGTCAGGAACCTTGTCCTCAGTGTCAGGAGCCTTGTCCTCAGGGCCGGAACCTTGTCCTCAGCGTCAGGAGCCTTGACCTCTGCGTCAGGAGCCTTATCGTCAGCCTCAGGTACCTTGCCCTAAGCGACAGGAACCTTGTCATCAGCGTCAGGAATCTTGTCCTCAGCGTCAGTAACCTTGTCCTCAGCGTCAGGAAGCTTGACCTCAGCGTCAGGACCTTGTCCTCAGCATCAGAAGCCTTGTCCCAAGCGTCAGGATCCTTGTGCTTAGCGGCTCGAAACTTGTCCTAACGTAAGAAGACTTGTCCTCCGCGTCAGGAGCCTTGTCCTCAACGTCAGGAACCTTGCCTTCGGCGTCAGGAACCTTGTCCTCGGCATCAGGAACCTTGTCTTGAGCGGCAGGAAGCTTGTCCTCAGCGTCAGGAACACTGTCCTCAACGTCAGGAATCTTGTCCTCAGCGTCAGGAACCTTGTCCTCAGCGTCAGGAACCTTTTCCTCAGCGTCAGGAATCTTGTCCTCAGCGTCAGAAGCCTTGTCCTCAGAGTCAGGAGTCTTGTCCTCAGCATCAGAAGCCTTGTCCCAAGCGTCAGGATCCTTGTGCTTAGCGGCTCGAAACTTGTCCTAACGTAAGAAGACTTGTCCTCCGCGTCAGGAGCCTTGTCCTCAACGTCAGGAACCTTGCCTTCGGCGTCAGGAACCTTGTCCTCGGCATCAGGAACCTTGTCTTGAGCGGCAGGAAGCTTGTCCTCAGCGTCAGGAACACTGTCCTCAGCGTCAGGAATCTTGTCCTCAGCGTCAGGAACCTTGTCCTCAGCGTCAGGAGCCTTGTCCTCAGCGTCAGGAGCCTTGTCCTCAGCGCCAGGGACCTTGTCCTCAGCGTCAGGAGCCTTGACCTCTGCGTCAGGAACCTTATCGTCAGCGCCAGGTACCTTGCCCTCACCGTCAGGTACCTTGCCCTCAGCGTCAGGAAACTTGTCCTTAGCGTCACGAGCCTTGTCCTCAGTGTCGGGAACCTTGTCCTCAGCGTCAGGAGCCTTGTCCTCAGCGTTAGGAGCCTTGTCCTCAGGGCCAGGAACCTTGTCCTCGTCAGCGTGAGGTACCTTGCGCTCAGCGTCAGGAGTCTTGTCCTCAGCGTCAGGATCGTTGTCCTCAGCGTCACGAAACTTGTCCTCACGTCAGGAGGCTTGTCCTCGGTGTCAGGAACCTTGTCCTCAGCGTCAGGAACCTTTTCCTCAGCGTCAGGAATCTTGTCCTCAGCGTCAGAAGCCTTGTCCTCAGAGTCAGGAGTCTTGTCCTCAGCGTCGGGAACCTTGTCCTCAGCGTCAGAAATATTGTCCTCAGCGTCAGGAACCTTGTCCTCAGCGTGCGAACCCTTGTCCTCAGCGTCTGATCCTTGTCCTCAGCGTCACGAAACTTGTCCTCACCTCAGGAGGCTTGTCCTCGCCGTGAGGAACATTGTCCTCAGCGTCAGGAGCCTTGTCCTCAGATTCAGGAACCTTGTCCTCAGCGCTAGGAAACCTGTCCTCAGCGTCAGAAATCTTGTCCTCAGCGTCAGGAACCTTGTCCTCAGCGTGAGGAGCCTTGTCCTCAGCGTCAGAAGCCTTGTCCTCAGCGCCAGGAACCTTGTCCTCAGCGTCCGGAGCCTTGCCTTCAGCGTCAGGAGCCTTGTCCTCGGCATCAGGAAACTTGTCCTCAGCGTCAGGAACCTTGTCCTCAGCGTCAGGAACCCTGTCCTCAGCGTCAGGAATCTTGTCCTCAGCGTCAGGAACCTTGTCCTAAGCGTCGGGAGCCTTGTCCTCTGCGTCATGATCCTTGTCCTCAGCGTCACGAAACTTGTCCTCACCTCAGGAGGCTTGTCCTCGGCGTCAGGAACCTTGTCCTTAGCGCCAGGAACCTTGTCCTCGTCAGCGTGAGGTACCTTGCTCTCAGCCTCAGGAGTCTTGTCCTCAGCGTCAGGATCGTTGTCTTCAGCGTCACGAAACTTGTCCTCACGTCAGGAGGCTTGTCCTCGGTGTCAGAAACCTTGTCCTCAGCGTCAGGAATCTTGTCCTCAGCGTCAGGAACCTTGTCCTCAGCGTCACGAAACTTGTCCTCACCTCAGGAGGCTTGTCCTCGGCGTCAGGAACCTTGTCCCCAGCGTCAGGAACCTTGCCCTCAGCGTCAGGAGCCTAGTCCTCAGCGTCAGGAACCTTGTCCTCAGCGCCAGGAACCTTGTCCTCAGCGTCAGGAGCCTTGTCCTCAGCGCCTGGAACCTTGTCCTCAGCGTCCGGATCCTTGCCTTCAGCGTCAGGAGCCTTGTCCTTGGCATCAGGAAACTTGTCCTCACCTCAGGAGACTTGTCCTCGGCGTCAGGAACCTTGTCGTGAGCGTCAGGAACCTTGTCCTCAGCGTCAGGAACCTTGACTTCAGCGTCAGAACCTTGTCCTCGGCGCCAGAAGCCTTGTCCCAAGCGTCAGGATCCTTGTCCTCAGCGGCACGAAACTTGTCCTCACGTCAGAAGCCTTCTCCTCCGCGTCAGGAGCCTTGTCCTCAACGTCAGGAACCTTGCCATCGGCGTCAGGAGCCTTGTCCTCGGCATCAGGAACCTCGTCTTGAGCGTCAGGAAGCTTGTCCTCAGCGTCAGGAACACTGTCCTCAGCGTCAGGAATGTTGTCCTCAGCGTCAGGAGTCTTGTCCTCAGGGTCAGGAACCTTGTCCACAGCGTCAGGAGCCTTGTTCTTAACGTCAGGAACCTTGTTCTCAGCGTCAGGAACCTTGCCTTCAGCATCAGGAGCCTTGTCCTCGTCATCAGGAACCTTGTCCTCAGCGTCAGGAACCTTGTCCTCAGCGTCAGGAATCTTGTCCTCAGGGTCAGGAGCCTTGTCCTCAGGGTCAGGAGCCTTGTCCTCAGCGCCAGGAACCTTGTCCTCGTCAGCGTGAGGTACCTTGCCCTCACCGTCAGGAGTCTTGTCCTCAGCGTCAGAATCGTTGTCTTCAGCGTCACGAAACTTGTCCTCACTTCAGGAGGCTTTTCCTCGGTGTCAGGAAGCTTGTCTTCAGCGTCAGGAACCTTGTCCTCAGCGTCAGAAGCCTTGTCCTCAGAGTCAGGAGTCTTGTCCTCAGCGTCAGGAACCTTGTCCTCAGCGTCAGGAATATTGTCCTCCGCGTCAGGAACCTTGTCCTCAGCCTGAGAAGCCTTGTCCTCAGCGTCATGATCCTTGTCCTTAGCGTCACGAAACTTGTCCTCACCTCAGGAGGCTTGTCCTCGGCGTGAGGAACCTTGTCCTCAGCGTCAGGAGCGTTGTCCTCAGCGTCAGGAACCCTGTCCACAGCGTCAGGAATCATGTCCTCAGCGTCAGGAACCTTGTCCTCAGCGCCAGAAACCTTGTCGTCAGCGTCAGGAGCCTTGCTTTCAGCGTCAGGAGCCTTGACCTCGGCATCAGGAACCTTGTTCTCTGCGTCAGGAACCTCGTCCTCAGCGTCAGGAACCCTTTCCTCAGCGTCAGGAATCTTGTCCTCAGCGTCAGGAACATTGTCCTCAGCGTCAGGCGCCTTGTCCTCAGCGTCAGCAGCCTTGTCCTCAGCGCCTGCAACCTTTTCCTCAGCGTCAGGAGCCTTGACCTCTGCGTCAAGAGTCTTATCGTCAGCGTCAGGTACCTTGCCTTCAGCGTCAGGTACCTTGCCCTCAGCCTCAGGAAACTTGTCCTTAGCGTCAGGAACCTTGTCCTCAGCGTCAGGAATATTGTCCTCAGCGTCAGGAACCTTGTCCTCAGCGTCAGAAGCCTTGTCCTCAGCGTCATGATCCTGGTCCTCAACGTCACGAAACTTGTCCTCACCTCAGGAGGCTTGTCCTCAGCGTGAGGAACATTGTCCTCAGCGTCAGGAACCTTGTCCTCAGCGTCAGGAACCTTGTCCTCAGCACCAGGAACCCTGTCCTCAGCGTCAGGAATCTTGTCCTCAGCGTCAGGAGCCTTCTCCTCAGCGTCACAAGCCTTGTCCTCAGCGCCTGGAACCTTGTCCTCAGCGTCTGGAGCCTTGCCTTCAGCGCCAGGAGACTTGTCCTCAGCATCAGGAAACTTGTCCTCAGCGTCAGGAACCTTGTCTTCAGCGTCAGGAACCCTGTCCTCAGCGTCAGGAATGTTGTCCTCAGCGTCAGGAACCTTGTCCTCAGCGTCAGGAGCCTTGTCCTCAGCGTCATGATCCTTGTCCTCAGCGTCACGAAACTTGTCCTCAGCTCAGGAGGCTTGTCCTTGGCGTCAGGAACCTTGTCTTTAGCGCCAGGAACCTTGTCCTCGTCAGCGTGAGGTACCTTGCCCTCAGCGTCAGGAGCCTTGTCCTCAGCGTCAGGATCGTTGTCCTCAGCGTCACGAAACTTGTCCTCACGTCAGGAGGCTTGTCCTCGGCGTCAGGAACCTTGTCCCCAGCGTCAGGAACCTTGTCCTCAGCGTTAGGAATCTTGTCCTCAGCGTCAGAAGCGTTGTCCTCAGAGTCAGGAGTCTTGTTCTCAGCGTCAGGAACCTTGTCCGCAGCGTCAGGAAACTTCTCCTCAGCGTCAGGAACCTTGTCCTCAGCGTCAGGAGCATTGTCCTCAGGGTCATAATCCTTGTCCTCAGCGTCACGAAACTTGTCCTCACCTCAGGAGGCTTGTCCTCGGCGTGAGGAACATTGTCCTCAGCGTCAGGAGCCTTTTCCTCAGATTCAGGAACCTTGTCCTCAGCGCCAGGAACCTTGTCCTCAGCGTCAGGAGCCTTATCCTCAGCGTCAGGAGCCTTGTCCTCAGCGCCTCGAACCTTGTCCTCAGCGTCCGGAGCCTTGCCTTCAACGTCAGGAGCCTTGTCCTCGGCATCAGGAAACTTGTCCTCAGCGTCAGGAACCTTGTCCTGAGCGTCAGGAACCCTGCCCTCAGCGTCAGGAATCTTGTCCTCAGAGTCAGGTACTTTGCCCTCAGCGTGAGAAGTCTTGTCCTCAGCGTCAGGAACCTTGTCCTCAGGGTCAGGAATCTTGTCCTCAGCGTCAGGAACCTTGTCCTCAGCGCCAGGAGCCTTGTGTTCGGCGTCACGATCCATATCCTCAGCGTTACGAAACTTGTCATCACGTAATGAGGCTTGTTCTCGGCGTCAGGAACCTTGTCCACAGCGTCAGAAACCTTGTCTTCAGCGTCAGGAATCTTGTTCTCAGGGTCTGAAGCCTTGTCCTCAGCGTCAGGAGTCTTGTCCTCAGCGTCAGCAACCTTGTCCTCAGCGTTTGGAGCCTTATTCTTAACGTCAGGAACCTTGTCCTCAGCGTCAGGAACCTTGTCCTCAGCGTCAGGAACCTTGTCCTCAGCGTCAGGAACCCTATCCTCAGCGTCCGGAATCTTGTCCTCAGCGTCAGGAACCTTGTCCTCATCGTCAGGAACCTTGTCCTCAGTGTCAGGAGCCTTGTCCTCAGGGCCGGAACCTTGTCCTCAGCGTCAGGAGCCTTGACCTCTGCGTCAGGAGCCTTATCGTCAGCCTCAGGTACCTTGCCCTAAGCGACAGGAACCTTGTCATCAGCGTCAGGAATCTTGTCCTCAGCGTCAGTAACCTTGTCCTCAGCGTCAGGAAGCTTGACCTCAGCGTCAGGACCTTGTCCTCAGCATCAGAAGCCTTGTCCCAAGCGTCAGGATC